CTGTTAGTTGGGGGAGGCATATAGGTGTGTTAGGTACAGGGGGGGCAAACACACATAATTTGAACGCGGGAGGGCACACTAACTCAGGGTTAACACAGGGGGCATGCTAATTCATGTTTAACACAGGGGGCACACTAACTCAGGTTTAACACAGAGAGGGGGCACACTAATTCAGGGTTAACGGGAGTGAGGCGACGGTAGCGTGTCTCCCTGTAGCTTCGCACCGCTGAGCCTTGAGAATTCTTTTTGACATTAAGCATCTCCCAATGAAACAGAAAATAACCACTCCAAATAAACAGTTGAAAGAAATGGCTCAAAGGCCTCCTCATCATCTTCACATATTGGTACTGCGGGCTGGAAATCACCAGTTGGGTCACTGACGGAGATAGCCACCGCACGCAAACAGGGATGGGCTTCCTAATCAGGCTGATATTGAAAAGACCACTCTCTCTATCTCTGGGAATCATCATTCACTGTGGCCAGAGAAGCCAGGTTCAGGTCAATCCAGGCAACTTTCTAACTGGTACTGAGTCAGTGGCTATATCAATGGCAATCCCCGAAGGACATTTTTGCGCGCACGTTTAGTTTGAGACAACTAATAAAGAGAATGAAGAGACAACTTTCCTCCTCTACACTGGGGCTTCGGGGCACAGTTTGAAATGCGTTCTAGCGCATCAATGTGATTTCACTACAACTTGCCAGAAATACTGCAGGCCTCAGCACACTTCAATATAAGTGGCTCATTCAAGCACGGCTTTACAGTTTACCCCCTATGATACTGGCACGCTTACACATTGGCAAAGCCCGAACCCGTTCAATCGCCAGGTGCAAGCGAATCCAACTGCATGCAATAGATTGGGTGACGAATACGTTTCATTTTTACAAGATGATCCTGCCCAGACCATCTACATGCACTATTCCTAAATGCACTGTGCACGCAGACTCAGTTGAAATCATAACTAGATAGTTGGATTCTCACTTGTTGAGAAGATTGTATATAGATTCTAGCCTCGGATGTATAAGTATTCTTATTACCAATACTTTTCCGAACAGAAAAGACAATTGCTGATGCAAGGATGGAGTAGTTTAGGCCGATAGGTTTTGGTCAGGTTTCAAAGCAACTGGGAACGTGCCACACAACAGCCGCAAAGAGACTTCTATAACAAGTGGAAGCGCGTTATTCCGCCTACTGTAAACTTTACAAGGCCCTAAAAACCATGTTCGCACCGCTATTGCGAAGCTGACTGTGGACTGGGATGCAGCACTTTCTTTTCAAAGACCGACTGGCTGTTTGGGGCTCTCGGGGCCGGGGGTGGGGGGAGGGGTGCAGGGGGTAATCTTCACATAACTCGCAAGGTCAGTAATCCGGAAAATGTGCGCACGATACACAAACTATGAAACGCTGGAACACTCTCTGATTTCACCTTTCCCCCTGAATCCGCCAGCCCAGTGGGTCTTAATTCGAAAAGGAAAGTTATACCCATGCTGTAACTTGGCAGGAAAACATCATTTTTAAGTTTAATCTCGTTTCCTTTGAAATCAGACTCCAGTTGCTTCCCCCGCCCAACATATATCGGGAATCGTGTGTTTATTATGGTTTTGGAGAGGGCGTTTTATCCTTAACATTATACTGTATCAAATTTCGCCTCCGGATTTAGCTGACAATTTCATAGAATCCCTACAGTATGGAAGCAGGTCATTCGGGCCATCGAGTCCACACCGACCCTCTGAAGGAGCATCCCACCAAATCCCTGCAACCCTGCATCTCCCATGATCAATCCACCTACCCTGCACATCTTTGGGCTGTGGGAGGAAACCAGAGCACCCGGAGGAAATATGCAAAGTCTACACAGTCGCCCGAGGGTGGAATCGAACCCGGTTCCCTGGCACTGTGAGGCAGCAGCGTTTAACCACTGAGCCACCGTGACCAGATATCTCTTATAGTACAGTATGGTAAAACTATGTTAAATGACAGCTATCCTATTACCAGTTTGGTGTACATCTCTCTTAACCAAGCGCATAACCAAAATCGGGCGGTATCCTTCTTTATCCAGAAGTTCCCTGGTTTGGTTTTCTGTTTGACCACACTTTTGAGCTGTGAACACCTCAATCGAGCTGTCCAATCAGTTCACGCTTTGTTTATTGCTGATGTGTGTGCGGGTTGGTATCTACACTACAATAAACTGCAACAAGACAGCCTGCCCTGGCTGTGAGGGGTTTTGCCATTCGGTGTCAAATTTTACATCAAGCTACTTTTTCTCGTGCAATACTTATAAATTGGAGCTTCTCTCACACACACTACTGTTTAATATCATTGATGAACAAATCCTGAGCCCCATTTAATTACCTCCCACGTCCCTTTTGGCCGTAATCCTTTCCATGCTATATTTTTTCCCCCCTGCGATTCTGGTTTTGGATTGATTCTGCACGTTAGTTATGGTTATGCAACAGCTACAGTGTTAACCTTTAGCGGTGGCTGTAGTGCCTGGCAAACGGCTCTCACATCGGAGGTGAGAGTCACCGGAATACAATCTAATCACCCCTGTCCACATCCAAGACTGTCATATGGTTTGGGACTAAGTTGTAGCTCTAGTGGTGTCTGAGATGCGTTGCTGTTAACTTTGTATACTGGCGAAAGGGAGATTCTAACCAGTGTATTATTACCCCAGTCTTTCTAATCAAAAGAACTGATCGGGAGCTGTTCCGATTCTTCTGTCAAACGCTACAGTTTGGGAAACCTTTCAAACCCAGCCGTTTAGGTACTAAGTGAACTGGAATAAAGTCACTGTCAGTATTGCTAAAGAGGGAAGGGGTCCTTTCCAATTTATTCCAATGATTTTACTCTCATTCTTGGGGCTTTGGTATCCGTGAAAGTTTACCGACCTCTCTCAGCGAAACTGATGATCTCCGAGGTCTGTTCCTGCAGTTCCTTCCTGGTGTTGGTAGTCGCATGGCCATCCAGGTGTGGGATCTCCAGCCTGCCGTCTTCTCTCATCTTGCCGGAGTGTAACTTCCTCAGGGCGGTGACCATCGCCGCTCTGGGCACCGGGTGAGTGATGTTGGGCCTCTCCCGCATCTGCAGGCGGCTCAGGATGTGCCTCTTGACGGCTTCCAGGAGGAGCGCGTCGGTCTGGCCGGGCTCGTCTGGCTGGCTGAGCCCGCAGGTCGCGCAGGAGCCGGCGCCGGTGAAAGGGAGAGAGCCCTCGGCTGCTGGAGCCGGCGTGCAACCGCCACACACCACGATCACCAGCAGCCACGCTCCGCTCAGGCAAAAGACGCTCATCTTTCCAGGGCCAACGAGATCTCTCTCCCTCTCTCCCCCACCCCCCCCTCCCACCCCTCCCATCCCCCCCCCCCCCCCCCCCAACAGAGAGAGAGAGAAAAAAAATCCCCTATCAAATGTGACTTAAAAGTGGCTCAATGTTCGTGCTGGGGTCGCCACTGTATTGCGGTAGCGCCTCTGTTAGCATTATATCAGCAGACAGGAACCTGCTTTCTACTGGGAATGTTTCCAGATAGCATCAGGCTCCTTGTGATAAATAACGTTTTTCGCCCCCCCGAAAAAAAAACTGAAGGGCGGCTGGGATACAAAAAAAATTAGCATCCACACTGAAAAGCTCTAAGTCTTTTATTACAATTTTGAACGCCGTTTCAGGCTCGCTTGAAGTTAATCTGCACGGTTTAACATTCTACCTCTGCCAGCCCCAACTTTAAAGTCATTCTAGTGGCCCAGTATATAGACATTTATAAGGGAGATGCCAAAGAATCCAATTGGAAGACCAAGTGGGGGGGAGAGAGGGGAAATGGGGCGGGGGGGGGGAAGCTGTGGTTCGCCAGGGCAGGAGTTCCCCTTATCTTTAAAGTAGTAATCCAGCATGAGTCACTTTGCGTCAGGTTATGATCCTGGGCCTCCACCGGCGTTAAAACAGCGCAAGTGACCGCGGCGCTGACTGCGTTTCCCTGAGTTCAGCAGCAAAAACGCTCCGCTCTCCCAGGCGGCGCTGCCAGCGATCGCGACATTCGAGTCACTAGCCGCAAACTTTTTATACAATCGGCAGCACCACGTGGCAAGTTCCACCTATGAACTGGCTCGCTCCAGAAACAAGCGAGAGATTAACCGAGCACTCCTGGGCACAGTTACTTCCTGGAAGGGAATTTAGAATCGGTTCCCCCCTCCCCCCACCCTACACACACACACACGCCCCTTTTTCCGTGCCGAAACCAAATAAGAAGATTCGGTTTTCTAAAACATCAATGAAACAAAAAACACCCCAACAATTTACAGGAGTAAAAGCCAACAATAACAAAGAAATACGAACACTGGGAATGTAAAAGAGAGCGGAAAAAAAGGCTGGAGAAATTCAGCCGGTCTGTGAAGAGAGAAAGCAGAGTCAAAATCTCGATTTCAAGTGACCCTTCTTTCATAACTGACGTTAACCCGAAATGTTCATTCTGTCCCTCTCTCCACGGACCTGCTGAGTTCCTCCAGCAACTTCTGCTCACAGTGACAGATTAGGGGGTTGCGGACGGATGTGCAGATTTCACGAGCAATTGTCTTTATTTTGTGCGCGTTTGACTCCTTTTGAAGTCTGGGTGTGTTATTTTGCAATTCAAACGCTCACCCTCCAAAATAATTAAAGGATTTGGGTTATCTGAGGTAGCGTTGTTGGAGGATGAAGCCAGCTTTCTTAACTGTTCCTATTCCAGAACGTGTTGCCGGTTTTGCAACATTCTCCCAGGTTTCAGTGCCTCTTAGAATCGTCCGTTGAAACTTGGTTGTGGGGTTGTGTGTGGAAAAACTACTCCGAAATCTCTCCAGTCACTGGGACCTTGGTTTAGTTTCCGTTAGATGTTTTAGATTGCAGTATTTTGCAATAGCAGAAAGAGCTTTTTTTTTCTGCCGATATCGAATAAATAGTTTCCGATTGAAAATCAATGACGTTTTGGTGTGATTTGTGTTTGAGTAACGCTGAGTGCAGTGCGGTATAGAATCACCAAGCACTATTACATGGGATAACTTGCCCCCTTGATCCTAGCCACGTCTTCTTTAAACACTCAGTCCTGGTCAAGTATGCAAAATGACAATTAGCCTCCGACATGCCCCTTGCCCTGCAGCGGTCTAGAGAGGCGACAGCAGAGGAAATCTATATCAGAGCTCGTAATCCATGCATTTTTTCAGGACAGGCCACTATTTCCCCACTCAGCTGAACTGGTGGTGATCGCTTTGGTAGCTCTGAACGTAAACGTCAAGGGGCTTTAGCTTCTGCTTCTATTCATGAAGACAGACAAACCGAATTATGTTCAGGCTGAACAACTCCCCCAGCCCTCGTTCAGTGAGTGTCAGTAATGGACAGATTGTCATCGATGGTGAATAAGATGTACCTAGGTGTTGATGGCATTGGCTCGCATTTACAGCTGGCTCTCTTCTTACATCGCGGGAATTGGCTTGTCTTTCATTTCTGGAGCAGTTCGCTTTCCTCGACCTTTTCCTTTCAAGAAAGTTGAATCTCTTTCCAATTTCCTCCCATCGTTTCGAAGAACGGTGGGAGCGAACGGGTTGAGGGTGGTGGGGCGGGGTGGTAGGAACTGCCGAATATGAAGACTGTTTTTTGGTTTTCTTGGCTTTGGGGGGGGGGGGGGGGGGGTCGGTGCTGATAGCTGCCCGGCGGAAAGAGGCACTCTCGTGAAAGCCTTATCAAGTAAATAGAGCGCCACCCACCTTCAAAAGTGTGCGAGCGGCCAAGGTCCTTCCCAAGCGGTGCACTGACGCTGGTCAATATAACATGCATCACTCTGGAACAGTCAGAGTCGCTTCCTCACGCTGAATTACTCTGGGAAAGGGGTAAATGGTTGGCTTTAATGGATTGCTGGTCCTTATCACGGCCATGTAATAAGCTTGGGTCAACGACCAGTGGAGATGGTATAAATGAACGAATCGTATTACTCTCTAGACAGGTTCCTGAAATTAAAGCAGAAATTTCTGGAGAAACTCAGCAGCATCTGTGGAGGGAATTTTAGTTCAGGTTCCTTAGATTGTCGTCTGCAGAATTAACTGACAGAATTAATAGTCACTGGGTCAGGGCGGGTTACTGAAGGAAAACGTTCCACTAGCTGGTTTTTGTTCGTTAGTGAGGGTTACCAAAGCAAAGCTTTTAAAATCAATTTTTTTCATTCACTCGTGGTACTTCGGTGTTGCTGGCTGGCCAGCATTTATTGCCTGTCCGGAGTTGTCCTTGAGAAGGTGGTGGCGAGCTGTTTTCTTGAACCGCTGCAGTCCCAGTGCTTTTTGGGTGACCCACAACAGCCTTAGGGAGAAAATTCCAGGATTCTGACCCAGGGGCAGTGAAGGAATGGTGATAAATTTCCAAGTCAGGACGGTAATTTTCTCGGAGGGGAACTTGCAGGTGGTGGTGTTCCTGTGTATCTGCTGCCCTTGTCCTTCTAGATGGAAGTGGTGTGGGTTTGGAAGGTGCTGTCTAAGGAGATTTGGTGAATTTCTGCAGTGCATCTTGGAGATAGGACACACTGCTGCTACTGAGCGTCAATGGTGGAGGGAGTGGATGTGATGCCAATCAAGCGGACTGCTTTGTCCTGGATGTTTTCAAGCTTCTTTAGTGTTATTGGAGTGGCACGTTTCCAGGCAAATAAAGTTTATTCCATCATACTCCTGACTTGTGCTTTGTAGATGGTGGACAGACTTTGGGGAGTCAGTATGTGAGTTGCTCACTGCAGTATTTCTAGCTCCTGACCTGCTTTTATAGCCGCAGTGTTTATGGCAAGTCTAAGTTGAGTTTCTGGTCAATGGTAACCTCCAGGATGTTGACAGGGGGCTTTCAGTAATGGTAAGACCATTGAATGTCAAGTGGTAGTGATTAGATTGTCTCTTATTAACAAAGGTTATTGCTTGGCATTTGTGTGGTATAGATGTTACATGCCACTTGTCAGTCCAAGCCTGGATATTGCCCAGACCTTATTGCATTGCAGCATGGACTGCTTCAGTATCTGAGGAGTTGTGAATGGTGCTGAACATTGTGCAATCATCAGCAAACATGCCCACTTCTGACCTTATGATAGAGGGAAGTCATTAATGAAGCAGCTGAAGATGGTTGGGCCTAGCACACTGTCCTGAGGAACTCCTGCAGGGATTTCCTGAAGCTGAGATGACTGACCTCAAACAACCACGACCATCTTCCTATGTGCCAGATATGAATCTAACCAGTGGAGAGTTTACCCTCTGATATGCATTGATTACATTTTTGCTAGAGCACTTTGATACCACAGTCAGTCAAATGCTGCCTTGATGTCACGGCTGTCACTCTCACCTCACCACTGCTGTACTATAGCTAATGATATCAGGAGCTGAGTAGCCCTGGTGGAATCCAAACTGGGCTTCAGTGAGCAGGTTATTGCTGAGTAGGTGCTGCTTGGTAGCACTGTTGATGATATCTTCCATCAACTTACTGAAGATCATGAGTAGACTGATGAGGTGGTATTTGGCTGGTTGGATTTGTCCTGCTGTTTGTGTACAGGACATACCTGGGTAATTTTCCACATTGTTGGATAGATGCCAGTCTTGTAACTCTATTGGATAAACTTGACTAGGGGAGCAGCAAGCTCTGGAGCACAAATCTTCAATACTATTGCAGGAACATCATCAGAACCCCTAGCCTTCGCATCATCTAGTGCCTCTATCCATTTCTTGATATCAAACAGAGAGAATTGAATCAGCTGAAGACTGGTACCCGCAATGCTGGGAACCATTCGAGGAGGCCAAGATAGATTATCCACTCGGCACTTGTGGCTGAAGATTGCTGCAAATGCCTTATCTCTTGCACTGATGTGTTGGGCTCTTCCATCGTTGAGAATGGGGATATCTGTGGAACCTCCTCCTCCAGTGAGTTATTTGATTGTTGTTATAGACCCGAAACCCACTTTTCAAATTCTTCTGCCAGTGAATAACTTACACACACACCCCCATATACACACAACCACTCTGAAATAACATGGCACCATAAATATGATATTCACTCTTAAATTGCATCTAGAATGCAAGAGAACCTTCTTTGTGGTGTGATTGAAGTGAATTGCCTGGATGCATTTAAGAGAACACTAGGTAAACGCATAAGGCACAAAGGAAAGAGTAGGTTATGGTGACAGGGTGTGTTTAAATTTGGTGAAATGAGGCTCATGTGGGGCATCAGCATCAGCTTGGACCAACTGGTCTGGGTAGTCCATTGATGAGCTTCCAATTCTATGTAAAACCTCTAATATCTCTGCCAAGCTTC